TACCATTATTAGCTGCTTTAATGAATTGCTTTGTGTTTTAGTTTCTTTCCACCACACAATGCCTTCACTAGCAGCCATTTAGTTTTGCAATTTCTGTTGCAGGTTTAAACTTTTTTTAAAAAACAACAACAACACACACACAAACAAAATAATAGCAGATTTCTAATAAAAATATAGAAAAATTGTAAGAAAATGTGAAAACACTAGTATATTTTGCTTATTTTAACAGATAAGGGGAATTCCCCATATAACCTGCCTTCCACTTCACAAAATTCAGTAGATTGAGACGCTGATATGGATCGAATAGAGAGTGCTCACTTCTGAACCTGTTCTTGCTGTGGGGAATGAACGTCTTAATCTATTTTGCAGGATAGTTCTTTTATTTACCTGCTGACTCCAACCTCAAAGTGAACTTGATTTTCAGAAAAGTCTAATTTAAAGGAGCCACGAAGTCAAGGAGATTTAGGAGTTTATTGCTGCTGTGGTTTCAGGAGAGGCTTCAGTCTTTTCTGATGCTTCCAATAATATACCTTAATACAGCTGAAAAATTGGTTTCCCCTCTCTCTTAAAATAAGATATTTCATGCTTTGAGTTGATAGTGAGAAGAAACCTGAGCCCTGTATGCGTTTTCATTTTGTACAGTTCTTGCATAATTTTGTTTTATCAGAGTTACGCTCCTAAAAGTCTACTAGAAAATAAACACGACAGCAAAACAAGAGTTAAGTTCAGTGGCTGAACATTGATGGAGGAGGATGCATTCCAGTAGTGAACTAGTAAGGGGAAGTAATTGAGTTGCTAGTAATATCATTTCAGCGATTCAGGAGGAAACCTTATCTACTGAGTGTGTATTAAAAAGATTAAGGTACTAAGATTGAAAGCAAAGGGTACAGAACAAAAAATCAAGAAGTGCTATCTAGCAACACAGAAATTGACATTACCTTCAACCTTCCATCTTCATTCCCCAAGGCAGTACTTTCTAAACTTGGGTTAATTACCCCAAATTTGGTAAAAGTGTTTTTTTTCTTTGGGTATCGATACCCAATCATAACAGGAACATTTAAATTGACTTAAACTGTTTTGCCTAGATTGGGTAAAAAAGGACTTTTTGATAAGCAGTTTTGGGTACCGAAGGGAAAGATTTGGAAAGCCCTGCTATATGATATCCTCTGCTCTGCAACTCCCTTCTCTGTTTTCTGTAATACTCCAGAGCAGGGGTAGTCAACCTTGGCTCTTTTATGACTCGTGGACTTCAACTCCCAGAATTCCTGAGCCAGCATAGCTGGCTCAGGAATTCTGGGTGTTGAAGTCCACGAGTCATAAAAGAGCCAAGGTTGACTACCCCTGCTCCAGAGCAATGTTTCTCAACCTTGGCAACTTTAAGATGGGTGGAATTCAAGCCCCAGAATTCCCCAGTCCAGCATGATGGCTGGAGAATTCTAGGAGTTGAAGGCCATCCATTTTAAAGTTGCCCAGGCTGAGAAACATACCTTCAAAAAGATTGTGCTGGCATTTTTCTCCCTAATAGATTTCCAGGATAATCACTGGAAAAACATGAGATGATAACCAAGTAATAGCTTACATTATGTGGACCTCCAATAAAAGGGGAACCTTTGCAATTAACGATATGGAAACTAGCAGTGTCAAGGATTGGTCAAGTCGTTCAGGCTTCCTTACAAATATCCTCAGATAGCAACAGCTGCAAAGCCAGCATATATAGGGGGAAGCAACTCATAAAGCCATCTACCTATAGCTAGACTAGAACTAGCATTTGGAGCTGAGCATGAAGCCAATACCAAACCCTGGAACAGACATAAATACTAACCTATGAATATCAGGGAGGCAAAAAATATCTACATAATCACCTTTATGGGATATAGGAAACTACAGCTCATAAAATTAAATGTCTTTTTTTCCCCTCTCTTTAAATTATGGGCTTCTCTAGTCCACCTTGATTCAGGAACATTGTTTCCCATAACAGGGTTGCATAATTTTCATTGAGGGCTACAGATCCAACTTATAACTTGTGGAATGTTGATTATGGACCCTGGGCCTGCAGCTGGCATGGTCAAGCCTGGACAGTAGTCAAGTAATCTTTGTCCCAGATGTTCCACCACACCCATACATGGACAAAGAAAGATCATACTGCTTGATATGGAAACTATGGGGAAAAGTGTCATAAATGGAGAACAGGGTACAATTTTCTACCATACACCTATGCAAAGTGCAGGAGATCCTAGAGGAGACAACAGAGGACAGGGGAATCTGGCATGGTCCAAGGGATTGTGAAGAATCAGACACAACTTAGTGACTGAACAACAACAACAATCTTAGACAAACTGAACCAAGATATCCTTCTGTTTATATTTGTGTTGCATCCCTGGCAAGGAAAACAGAATACTGTCTACAGATCCATTTCCTGCATGCGCGGTACAGCCATACTAAGATCAATAAGTTCAGGCAGATATGCAGCGTATTTCTGCTCCATATCTGGTGGAAAGATTACGACCTTTCCAGAGAGATCACTGAGAACAGAAAAGGAGCATAGATTTTTGGTTCTATCCAGTTGATAAAAATTACAAAGTAGATTAAGGATACCGTAACTCTTTTATTGCATTATTTTACATGAGTAATCTGGAAGGTCCATTCAGGTCAGCGTCTTGTTATATTACCATTTTAAGATACCATTTTTGTATTGAAATTTAAAAGCAGCAAGTTCTGCATTTATAGCTATAATAATTTACAGCTTTGTGTTGTTTACCTAATAATTATCTAGTCAGCGTCCCAGTATGAGTTCCCTTGCAGTTTCAGACTTGCTGCTTTCATTGGAAGATGTTATTAATTCTGCAAATAGTGTAATATTAAAATGTAAGTTTACGGAATGTAAATGTCATAATGGGCATAATGATGTACATATTGCTTTGTGTGTCTTCAGAAGAGACCCTCTTTCAAGCAGATCATTTCAATTTTGGACTCCATGTCAAATGATAGCAACCTTCCAGACCAATGCAATTCATTCCTGCACAACAAGGCAGAATGGCGGTGAGTACTTGTAGTTCCCACCAATAATTATGACATTATCTGTGGGGAGAAATGAGGTATTTTCCAGAAAAAATACATGGCTAAAATTAAATATCCAGTGTTTGAATTTTCAAAATTTTAAGTGCAAGCTCCAGCGATCATTGTTTTGCTATCAGATGGGAAAAATTGTGTTTCCCACTACGTGTTCATGTTGGCGCTTTTTCTGCATAATGATGATCAGAAACAAGTTTGTGTTTGGTATATTTGGAAGCAATGAGTTGGTTTCAATCAGATATACATCAAAATGGCCAAATCAAACCACAAAATTAAATTTGTTAAGCATTAAGAATGATAGTAAGAGATATAAACAGACAGCTATGAATCAAGGGACCAGAACTAAATTGCAAAATTTGGGAAGAAAATATTCTTGTCCATAATTTATTTCATCATCCAGAACTAGAAATGCAGGATAATCAGCACGAAGTAAGCAGATGTAATATTTGCCATCTCAAAAATTTGCAATCATTATTTGGTCATTTTCATATATATGTTATTGCGAGACTCTTCTGCTTTTCACTGATCCTTGAAAAGTTCCCCAGTGAATTATCTAGGCTGGATTTATGAAACGGTATCAGTGGTGGGATTCAGCCAGTTCGCACCACTTCAGCAGAACCGGTTGCTAATTTTTTTGTTGCCCACGCCCAGAATAGACTTCCGGAAGCAGCGTCCACAAAGAGAACTGGTTGTTCACATATTTGAATCCCACCACTGAGCAGTATGTATCCTGGCTACCTGTTTATGGTATCTCTTGTTCTTGTTGTTCTTTCCCAGGTTACACAGCTATAAGATTATGTGTATAAGTAGTTACTAAATTGAAAGAGATTGGGTGAGATCCAACTTTAGTCATTTGTACTTAAATTAGTCTTGACTTTATTGTTTCTATTGATCTAGGTGAGTCTTCTCTAACTATGTCAGACTTTCCATCCACTATTAATATCCTTCATTTGTTGTACCTTCTGTGCTAAAAGTCTTTCTTTGGTGGACAGATTTGAGCATGCTTTTTCAGACATAAACCCTGTGGTATTCATCTGGGCTTATTCCAGAGAAATATTTTTATGTCCAAATCTTTACAATATTTGTAAAGCACTCTAATCAGATGTGTGCATAAATATAGAAATAAAATATATTGATACATTTAAAACAGCTCTGCTTAGCGTACTGTGGAGGCCGATGAAAAGGGATCTGTCTGTACAAGAAGAGGATAATACAACAAATCGTGCAGTAATCTAAATTAAGAAACCTTGGCCATTCTCCAGGTATTGCCGAGCACAATTTAGTAGTCCACTTGATGGTTATATGCCTGCCTTCTTTGGAGACTGGCAAAGAAAACCATGCAAGAAAGATTAGAGAGATCTTAGCATGTAAATAATATTTAAAATCCCAGGATGAATAGAAAATGGATTTGCCAATACAAAACATCCTAAACTTTTTAAAGGGGGAAAATAATGATGAACTGATAAGAAGCAAGAGAATTTTACTGCAGGGATGGAAAATGTGAGCAGAGATGGGAGGTTTGAGCCAAGTCACATGATGCAAGTATAAATAGCTTGTTTTAGAACTGACATTCTTCTTGCACTGACTCAGCAGAGTGTGGCAATAATCCACTCTAGCACAGCCCTCTGAAGACCAGGATGCATTGTGCCATCTACTGGTGCAAACCGCAAACTGCACCGGAGATAAAGCTCCAAGCGTTCTATTAATTCTATGGATCATGGTGAATCCTTCCCATAGAGCAGGGGTGTCAAACTGCTGGTCCATGGGCCAGTTGCATCATACGGAGGCCGCACCCACCCCAGCTCCGGCAGTGCAAAAAAAAAGTCACAATATGTCACAACACGTCATGTGACGCAGCAAATTTGACACCCGTGCCATAGAGTATTAAACACGTGTACTCGAGAGCAAGTCCCACTTATTTTCTACAATGTGTATTTAAGATTACAGAATTTCCAGATATGTTTAGGTTATCCAATTGAAGCCAGGCAACCAGTATGGCTTTTTACAGGTTGCTAAAGTGGGAAATGGTTGCTAATGTTATTAAGAACTTGAAGTAGCTAGGACCTGCCTTTTGTTTTTAAAAAAGGATGATTATTTAGATTTCTGAGGGAACAATATAATATAAAGCTATTGCATAGGTCAATGCAAGTATATAAGTATATTTTTAAAACTACAGATTTGATAACAATTTTTGAGATCTCTAGGAACCACACCCAAGTATTTCTGGAGGACATATGTACCCCTGGATCCCAACTTATGCATCTCTGTTCTAGAGAGAATTAAATCTTATTGTATTTAGAAACTTAGGTGAAAATAATGAAGGGGACAAGACATAAAATAAAACTTGGGCAAAATAGGAATTGTGCCACGTTCTATTAGTTACGTTTGGGCTGCCTGTCCTGTTTCATAAAACAATTCAGCTATCAAAAATTAGTACATTGTAATGAGCTTCCTAATCTTGGCAGTAACACATTAAAAACCAAGGCCCAAGTTGCTTTAATGGACATTGTTAAAAACAGTATTGACCATAGATACAATATATTTAGGAAACTAGAATTTTCTCCTAGTTTATTTTTTATTAAAAATGTTACCAAAATGGAGAAATTGGCTCCAGTAATTATAGGAAGCCTCCCGAACATTATAAAATGTAGCACAGGGATAATTGGTGAAAATCCTTCCACCCCTCTCGGCATGGCTGCCTGGGGAATTCTGGGAGTTGAAGTCCACACTTCTTAAAGTTCCAAAGATTGGACACCCCTGCTTTAAATCAACTGGCTCCTTCTGCTTGCGGAAGGGCACAGTTAGTTACTATCAATTTTGAATATGTTAATTGAATTTAAAATAATTTTCCTGAAATTATTAACGAAACTATGACTGCACTTTATTTGTTTTTATTTCATGTAACACTAAGACAGCAGGCAATGTTAATTTGTAAAAGTACTAAAATAAATGGAACATACACGATCACCAATGCTCAGTGTAAATTAATAAATTTGTAGAATAAGATATATTAATTAAGCAATGTAAAGAAGCGTTCTGTTTAATTATACTGTTTTATTATATATTTTTAAAGATTGCAGCCTTTTAGAGAATCTAACCTTTCTCTATAAAGTGCCTTCTGTCTAATGAAGAGAGATAATTATAGCACATACACAGTGTAATTTTGGCATTTAGAAAGTGTTGTTATTAAGGACAAAGACTTTAAAAGTTGGATAGCAGTTTGTTACATGTTTAAAATAGATGTAGTGCACATGAAGATAACTCAGTATTTTTATTTAAGATTCTCTCTGTGTCAGTGCATCTGGTGGCCTTCAGGTTTGAATCAAAACAAACATGGTTTAATGTGATATCTGAAGCAATCAATCAGTAAGATAGCATCCTTAGATTATACAGGTTTTCATTGGCATAGTGGCTTGAGGAGTTTCCCATATATTGTCAAAAAAAGTGACAAAAAATGCAAAACGTCAATTTTATGGCTAAACTTGAACAACTGGATTTGGATCAAGGCTGCACCACCAATTATTAAATAGATGATTTTATTTGGCAAAACTGGGTCTTGTTCCTAGGCCCCTGTTGTACTTCAAGCATCTCTGACAATTCTTTGCCTTAGGCCATACTAGTTGACAGTTAGGGGTCATTTTGGGGCCAGGCATGCAATTTAGGCAAAAGAATTAGTGATAGGATTCACAGGGACCTTTGGCTCACAGTTCCAAAGATCTTTTCTAACCAGACAATAGCAAGCACGGGGAAAAAAAATTCTGGTGTCTTGAACCCTGAAGAGTTTTAAGAGAGAGGAAAACCATGCTTAAAATCAGAAATAGAAACCTTTTTAAGGTTGAAGGAAAACCTAGCAAAAGAGCTTAGCTACCAAACAGTAAATCTGAATGATAGAAATAATATGAAACAAAATAGAATAGAATATTCTTTACTGGCCAAGTGTGATTGGACACACAAGGAATTTGTCTCTGTTGCATAAGCTCTCAGTATAAATCATAAGATACAACTATAAGTAAGATACAACCAACAAAGTCATAGTCATAAGATACTAATAGGAGTAGGTAATTGGAAAATTGAGAAAGATAATAGTAATACAATCCTGCTACATGGTTAGATATCCTTAGGCATAGACAGTGCTGTAGGAATTAGGTGATGGCATGAGGGAAAAAATTGTTCCTGTGTCTAGTTGTTTTGGCATGCATATGCCCTAGAGTGGCATCCTGAGGGAAGGAGTTCAATCAGTTTATGTCCAGGATGTAAGGGGTCTGTAAATATAATATGAAGCTTACACTCCATCCTTCATACAGTATTTTAGAAGATTCCCCAAATAGAATTTTCTTTTGTACCTTCAGGTTTATTCCTCTCAATAAAACAATTTTATAGTGCGACTCTACATTTATTTAGTTAGTTTTTAAAATCAGCCAATCAAAAGCAACTCTGGGCAACCTTGAAAAATAACACCATGATCCATAAGACTTACTTTTACTGAAGTGAGTCTATATGTTTGGGGACTTGACTTCTGAATCTACTTGTGTACAATTGTACTGTAAAACTCCTTCCTCAGTTCATCTTAAAAGTTACCTTGATCATCATGCATACACTTTTCTGGGATGTTGACATTGTATGGATAATTAAAACGTTAATTACTATTATTTCAAATACATTAGGAATTCTGTTTTTTAAAACTGAAATTGTAATAGATGATCTAAACTAGGTTTAATAGATCTATTAATGGATATTATTAATAGATTAATACTGTTAATAGATCTAGGATCTGTTATTCTGTTATTCTGTGTTCTATGTTCTGTGATATGCTATTGAAAGTAATTTAAGTCAGCTTATACATCATAGGCTTGGAAAAGTTTTGCCACTCTTGCAGCAAAATGCAGTGGGACTGAGATGTATACATTTCTAAGCTCGGAAAATGGATCGTCACGCTTCAGACTTCTGGGGTGGAGGAATGCTTTTCCTAATGAAAAAAAGAAAGCAAAGCACCCAATAGGAAAAGAGCCAGGGATGAACCATTTTTCTCTGATATGCTATTCATTTTACATAGAGGCAAAAAAATATTGTGCTAGTGGTAACCACTGGCAAGTGTATTTCAAAGCAATGGAAAAGTCTAGCATTCACTTTCAGCTCATCTTCACATCCTGCTGACTGACACGAAGATGGCTCATTAATTATTTTTAAAGGGCATTTCTGCATGATACATAAGTACATGTAAATAAGTTGCATAATAAAAAAAAATCAGCTTTGGTCCAAGCCTATAGGAAAGTATCTTAAATTCATATTTTCTTGCTTCAGTTTTAAATTTTCCCTCCTTTTTCAACAAAAAGTCTTGCTGTGGACATGGTCTGTGACACTTTATTGGATTGCATAAAATATTGGGGCATTTCCAAATATTATTCTCAAATGGCACACTTCATTGTATTTATGTGTGGACTCAATTTCCTTATTTCATAGCAAAATATGAAGAGGAAAAAAATGACAAATTCAAGGACTTACTATTCAGAATGAAGTTCCTCTGTGTTTGAAGAAGGGGTCCTCCGTGCTTGGTTTACTTTCAGAAACATTGGTGTTTGACTCTTTCCCTTTCCCCTTCCTTGATGGGTCGATGACTGGGAGATAGTGAGTGGAAAAGGGGGCTTGGGAAGGTGTCCGAGCTGGATGATTGAGGTAGCGAAGGGTTCAGGAAGCAAGACATGGAGCCTCAGCTTGCATCAGGCTTCAAAAAGAGGGCCTCTTCTTTTTGTTTAGGGTTCAAACAAATCTGTACTCTGCTAATTAAGAGTCCTACTTGAAACAGCACTATACTTTTCACTCTTTCATTAACTTTCAGATGGAAAATATTTGTGAACAATTTGTTCCTGCCAAGGGAAGGCACAATTTAACAAATTTCTTTTTATTTAGATGTGAAATAGAGGCTACCTTAGAAAGACTGAAGAGATTGGAACGCGATCTAAGCTTTAAAGAACAGGAACTAAAGGAAAGGGAAAAACGCTTGAGAATGTGGGAGCAGAAGCTAACTGAACAATCCAACACACCGGTAAGTACCGTTACAGATTTTGTTTTAGTGTTCATTGCAATGGAATCTGAAAATCCAACAAAAACTTGAATCTGAGAAATGCCTTAAGCTATACTTGCATTCATATGGTCGAACTCTCATATTTTCCTGCTTTGAATTGCAAGTGGCCATGTTTTGTTAGACAAGTCTTTTGAAATTGACTTCATTTCAAACTGTTGGGAAGTATAGATGAAGACTTTGAGAAATGAAGCAACCTTAGTTGCTTTATTATAATGATTTATTAAAGCCCGAATAAATTATTCTTAAATTTGCATTGAAAATAAGGTATCAACCATCTAAATTAATTGGTATATGGTTAATTTCAACACAATAATCTGGAGTTTATTCTCAGATAAGACGATGTTGGATTGCAATCTACAGTAAATGGTATTATACTCTGGGTCTTGTCTTACAGCTAGCTGTATATATTTTTAGGGCTATACAGAGACCCATATTTAAAATTATGTGGAGCTATTCACAAAGAAATACAGGCAAGGGCAACAGGAATGCCCACATAACTCCAAAGATATTTTCCCTTTTGAATTTGTATTGCTATACATATTGATAGAATTTTAGCATAATTGTTTATCTCTTAGCTAACCAAATGAAAAAAAGGACTTAAATGAATCATAGGTAAAATCTACAAAATTCAGTAGACTTAATCTACTAGGTCTTAGATCCAATCTAATCTCCCATTCCCTGTATCAAAATACAATTGGAGCTCTTGCCAAAGTTAAAAAACAGAAATCCCCTGCAATCCTGTGGAAAGAAATAACATGATCTAGTCAGTTTCATCTACATTGATTACCTCTGTTATGGAGGCATATCAGATCTCTTAACCCTGTAGCTTAATTCTGAATCACTGTATTGTGAAACTGTCGTAATATTAAGAATTTGGGTCAGTTGAGATGTTTTTAAAAAATAGTTATTACACTGACGTCCCACTTTTCCTTCGAGAAGTACAGAGCATCTGATTGGGGGAGAATCTGGGATCTCCACGTAAGAAACTGAACAGACTGTGATCTGCTTTGCTTTAACAATATGTGCCATTAGGCTGCTTCATGGAAATGGATATGTTTCAGGCATTGGATTCTGTTATGGAAATGACAAGTTTTGTTCTTGTAAGATATATTGAGACTAGAGCATGGCCATATAAATAGTGCAACACAGGAAGAAGGTTCAGATTCCCCCCCCCCCCCATTAATGTAATGTAATCCGTAAAAGTAGTGATTTTAGAAGGAATCAGGTGGGAGAGGTATAGAAATTGCACTGGAAACCATTTGTATTCAGGTCTAAATGACTGTTTTCCTGTATAAAGGGCAAAACATATGTAACGTTTTCTATCTAAATCTGAGTCTTGTTTCCTAAAGGAGCCATCAACGCTTAATTCCATATGCAGTGAAATGATATATATGCCCAAGAAATAGCTGCATAAAAACTGATATATATATATATATATATATATATATATATATATATATATATATATATATATATATATATATATATATATGTAGCTTTCAAGCAGAACGCGATTACCTTAACATCTTTTGACATCTGTTGGTAGTAACAGCCAAGCTTCTGTTTGCATTATTTAATTACTGTATGTTGCATTTTACTTCTGCCCAAACTGATGAGCTAATATTCATCCACCATTGCCTCTTGAGCCAGCATTCATTTGCAATGTTTATCAAACCTGCAGATGTTGCAGAGCGTTGTCCTTCTGTGCTTTACTTTGCAGAGTGCATTGTGCTTACTTTTTAATCTGAGTTGGGATTTTGGCCTGTTCACTCTTCCTGCACCTTCTTTCTGAGGCACAGCGTAATGGCATCTGTATGAATGACACTGCATGTGTATTCCAGCTGTGAACACGGAGTAGCCTATAATGATGAAGCATGAGTGTTTCCTAGAAGCAAGGTGTGCTCTGTTCTCTCTAGGTAGCCTGTAGGCTTCCTTTAATGTCTGCAAAGATTGAGTAGCTAAGATATAGGCCATCACCTATGTGGTTCACAGCATGAAACATAGCCATAATGAGCTGATCTTTCCATGAGTGAGGCTAAGGGATTTTTATCCTGCACCATTGCTTTTTGCTGCAAGACTTTTTACTGGCTGGCTTTGCTGAGGGAAAGTGTTGTGCTCAAGTCTATTGTGCTCAGTGTAAACTTCTTTTCTATAGGATATTAATACAAGACTTCTGTGGCAAACAAATGCCATTCTTGAAAAGGGAAGGCTAAAAGGATATTGAAAGTGAAGTACTTTTAAGCCTCAGGACCTATAGCTGAAAGGGCTTCTGTCAGATTTTTGAATAATAAAAAAATCTCGCTGTTTCCAAACCACCTTTCCCCTCCCCCCTTTTCCTTCACTTCTGAAGAAATTAACTTCAGAATTCATCTACATATAAAAACAAATTGCAGATGTTTCTGTGAGTCTTGTCAAGTAGTGGCCTATATTTGAGAGAATGGAAGCAGGAGCAAATACATATCTGGATAAAAGAGGAATAAAGAACTGAACCGATATGCATATTTTTCTTCTTTTTCGGAGAATTCAAATCCCAGTGAATAAAGGCTCATGATTTGGTTCCATAAAGGAGGGTTTGAAATGAGAACTGTAGAGACTTGAAAAGGATATTATATCGCTGGCCCCTTCACGTCTTTAAAATGTTTCTGTTGAAGAAGAAAAAAAAAGAAGAGCTGACCTGTGGGAGTCATTAGCATTTGTAAACCACCTCAAGCCTTTGGCCTCTTCAGGAGGCTTGAAGGAGCAGAAGTGGGACATTGGCCCCATAGTTACACACTGAGGCAATAGATCCCATAAAGGCTGCATCTCCATAGACTGTAGGCAAAGGCTCACATGACTGGAAGCTCATCTTTGCAGCTTTTAAAAATACATTTCTCACATGTAAAGTGGCATGCCTAATAAAAGGCCAGTGGTAGGATTAGGTGCACTGAATCACCTTAGATTAGCACCCAGTTAAGCACCTTGTCAAAGAGATCTTGCTCTCCCTTGATCAAGAAACAGATCTCCGGACAGTTAAAAATGGAAAGCTACAGATTTGTGCAGTGAGTTGTATAAGCCAGAGCAAAATCATCTGTGGTCCAAGATGGGCAATGAAAAATCCAAACTCTGTTTTACAGGTGAAAAACAAAGAATAGCGTGTTTTAAAAAAAATTACAATAGGGCCGTATTGTTTGGGCTTGTTTCACCTCATTGATTCAAAATGGTTTCTCCTGCAGGAATTTTATGTAAAGTAAAACATAGCGTTCAGGAAACAGTGAGAACCTCCAACCCATTGCTAGGGAAACTAACCAAAAGACACAGTGATAGTATGGGTTGTGATATTGTAGAGTTATTTCAAAGCATGCTCCAGCTTTATAGCAGAGAGTTATGCTATGATCAAGGTCAAAACGGGCAAGAGGTTAGCTCCTTCAATCTAGTTAATGTGTCCATTTTGTTATGTAGATAGCTGCTCGGCTCTTTCTTTCCCCTTGCTAGCTCCTGACAAGAGATGCCCTTTCAGAAGCTGCTATTTTCATCTCAAGACAAGCTTCAAGCTCAGCAGAGTGAAGGGTTGCCTTGATATACAAATAACAACTTGCAACAGGCAGGGCAAGGAAGTTCTCTTCTCTGCCCTCAGTAGTCTAAAGGCAGCTCAGGGTTTACATAATCGAAATGTAATCCCCTTCCTGCGTTTAGGGTTGCACCATTTCTTTCTTTCTTTATTGCCTCAAAGGCAAAATTGTAATCTGGGATTACTGCTTTTGAAAATTCACTTCAGATGGGGCATAGGTGAATAAATGCTGAGTAACTACCCTTGGCCCTACTGCTGCAAGGAATTAGGAAAAAGTAGGGAGTAGCTTAAAGGCAAGATTTAAATTGCATGCCTGTTTTCTTTTTTTAAAGTAAACATTCTTTGTTCATGTCAAGGCTGCAGTTTCTAATAGCTCAAGTTTAACATGAGATGGTAAAAAACATATACCGGTAAAAAGGCAAGTTGCGTACTTGTTTTTTCACTGTTCTAGTAAAAACAAGAACTATTTACAGTCCTTCAACAGGGACATCCTTTACTGCAAAAGTGATTCAATCTTTTTATCTGGGAAGCTCAGCTCATTGTCAGTTTGGGGGGAAGAAATTCTTGGTTTTATTTATTTATTTTTTTAAAAAAGAAAAGCTTAATTAATATGCAAGAATTAGCGTATAGAACTTATGTCAGGAATTGGAAGCAGATGGAGACACATGCTAAGCAGAGAGTTTTCAAGTTTAGGGACTAAGCAGCAGCTGCTCAGCACCTGCTCTGTCATTGTCAAACATCGTGGTGACATTGACATGGAATTGAAAGGAGGACAAATTGAGCAGTTTTGTGGATATATTATGGAAACTCATCCCTCTTAGTCCTGATTTACACATCCAAATACTGGCTACTTGTAATGTAACTCAAGAGTGTTCAGTGTAGCAAGCCATCAGTATGAAGCAGCCTTATTATTTATTTGGGGGTATTTTTTTTTAATGCACTGATGCAAATACACACAAATCTTTCTTTTTCCCCACAATATGCAATTTGGAGCTGTAGAGGCAAGTGATAATAACTTGAATGAAATAGGAAGGTGTTTCAAACAAATGGCTAGTTGCAGGGCTCAAGTCGCATCTGCTGCAGCGTAAGGCATTTTTTTTTGCTGCTCTTTGTAAAAATCAGCTAGGATTAGGATTCTACTCTTCATTCAAGAACATTTATACTAAAATCAGTACAGTAGGATTATTCCAGGTTTAGCGTGTTTAGCTAAAGTTCCATAATATACTAAGCTCTCCATTTTCCATATGGCATGAACAAACCATAGTTAGCCCTCCACTGAGCTTTGCTTCTTGATCACATCTCTTCTGGGAACCACACCAAAGACTGGGTCAAACTTTCAAGATGTGGTTGTAGGAGAATTTAATTTAATTTAATTTAATTTAATAATTTAATTTATATACCGCCCTTCTCCCGT